GTTGGGTATGGGTTAATGTTGGACTTGTGGGCTTGGGCAGCATTGGGTTGGGATGTTTTCGTGATGCACATTTTCTTTGCATAAAACTCTCTCTTATACGTGAGTTGCTGTGGATTTGTTTCTCCAAAGTACCTAGACTAATACAGCTTTATAATTTTATTTTCTAATTTAAATGTATCACACTATTACCATCATTTTTATTTTATGGATGAGGAAATTGAGGTCAACAGATTAAGTAATTTGCTCAAAATAGCAACCAGTTGGCAGAAAAGCCATGATTCTGCTGTAGATCCAGGATCTCCAAAGACGTTTCCCTGAGTACACGAAATAATATGCGTAGCATATAAGGACCCAGATCTAAAAAGTGTTCTCATGAAAAAGAACAGCTATATTATATAAAATTCTTACAATAAGAATTGGCACATGGTTGGTGTCTGACAACCAGTGGCTATTATTGCAAAAACTCACATTCTAGTGCACCAAACAGTATTCTCATATACCAGAGAGCTTCCTATACCACCACAGAAGAAATGGAATTCTTGTAAGATTTATTCAACCACTTTAGTATGTGTAAAAGGAGAGATTTTAAAGAAAGTACATACATTTTGAAGAATAAAAGTACATTGTAAATATTTTCGTCACCAACTTTCAAGTTACAAAAGACAATTAAAATTATGGAGACTAAAAGCGCCCAATGTTCTTTAAATAAAGTCAAGACTTCAATTAGAATTGACATTTTACAAACGTGTGTTCAAAACATAAAATATTCCTCTGTTCTCATTTATCCATTATCCATTTTTCCATTAATTATTTATGGAGAACCTGTTAGAGGGAAGCTATTAATAGCTAATGTATGCAAGCACTATTCTAAACGTTGCATATGCATTAATTCACTTAATTCTCATAACACCCTCTGAGGTATATCCGCATTATACAGGTAAGCAACATCAAGTACAGATGGCGAGGGAATCTGAACATCACTCGATATTAGGTGGCAGAGCCGAGTTTGGACCTAAGAAATTGGTTCCCAAGTCTTTGTTCACCAACATAATGTTGGCTCCTTTATTATTAAAAAATAATAAAGACCATGCAGATCTTGAAAAGAAAAACAAAAAATATATAGACTTCCTAAATATATGTGGTGAATTCCAAGTGGTCTTACCTTATTTTTAGTAATAACTCCTATTTTATATTTTAAGCTTAAAAAATATTATGTGTACATGAGACAATATCGAGGGCACTGGGAATCACAAAGCAACTGGGGAGAAAGCTTGTTTTTGTAATGCAGGAAAGAAATTATGTAAGGGTCTTTAGTCTTTCAAGAACACTCGCTATAAAAGATGAGCGTTAAATGAACATTCTATCAACTGTCAGTGTAGCGCTCATTAACTCCATCATGAAGGACAGCAAACATGCCACAATAATTTAATGAAAAGCAACCACCTTGGGCATTGATAAAATGCAAAGGACTTCTTAGAAAATAATAAAATTCTTCCGTAAAATTAAAGTGTACTATAGAAAATAAATGTATTAATTTTTTTCTTAAGAAACTTCAGTTCAAAGAATATAAATCTGTGTCCCAGCTCTCACTTTCTGAAAGTAATGTGTACAAAGTGGTCTAAAACAGAATTATACTCCACATAAGCAAACATACCATACAGGGCCTTTGCACTTGTTTTGGATCCATGTTCTCTGTCCATTTGGGAAAATGTGGGTGATCCGTAGCCACTATAATGAAAAAAAAGTCACTGTGCTAGGTTTAAGTTCAAAGTAAGCAGGCAAAATGCAAAGTTATAGAACAAAAATTCCAAATGTACCATAGTCACCGTGATTTTTTAAAAAAATAAGACATATGTAGTGTGCAAGTTTGTCAAAAGTTGCCAAAGTTTGTCAAAATTAGCCAGATTTCACTCTGGTGAGTAGTCAAAGAAAAAGAATGTTAAACTACTCTATACAGATAAAGTCCACCACACAGGTTGCAAATCACAGCCTACTCCCAAATGCCAAGTCAGAACTAGAGCCAAAAGGTCTCACTAGTCTATAAAATATCTTAGAAAAGCTTGCTTCCCATTTAATAGAGTTATGACCAGAAATCAGGTCATATACCTCACAATGATTCAAGCCATAATAGAATAAACAATATGTTTACAAATACTTAGTATAGTAGCCCTAAATACATCTGATCATTTACCTTGACCTGTTTTACCCTGTATCATACCCAAACCAAATTCATTACAAACAAGTCACTGCTGGTTCATAGTGAAATCCCCTGTAGGTTTCCAAGAATATAACTGTTTACGAGAGTAGAAAGCTCACATTGCTGCTGGTGGTTTCGAACTGCTGACCATGTTGATTGCAGCCCAATGCATAACCACTACACCACCAGGTGTGTTCATGAATTCAGCAAACATTAAGCCCTAAATCCTGGGAGGATAGAGTGTATTGGGGATGATAGATGGCAGGGTATTTTGAATAAGACAATTAAATAAACAGACTTTGATCTAGGGGTAAAATTAATAGACACATCATGCAGTATTTTAAAAGGGATAACTTTTTTTAATCAGTATATTCAACCTTAAATGAAAAGAAATTCAATAGAAAGGTGGATAATTAAGTGAGGAAACGGCACGTGGAATCTGCACAGGTTCAAGGAACTGCATGATGTCCAAGGGAAAATGCATTTAATGGGATATGCCTGGAACTGATAAATGACAAGAAAGCTAGGCTGAAGGCACATACAGAGAGATGCTACATCATGCTGAAATGTTTAGTTCTTATCCTCTGGCTACAGTAAATGTTTTTATATAAGGGAGTGACAAGCTGAAAAAATATTGAAGAAGATAATCCAACTGATGGCACAGTGATACTAATATTCACTAATATTGGGGAGTTAAAGGGTCCCCAATAGGTCTATAATGAACATAATAGAAGACAGGGATGGAAACAGGAATTCTCAAACAAAAAAATGAGTATAAATTAATGAATCAATAGATATTGGTTCTAATAAAAAGAAGTGAGGATATGGTCAAACTTTCTGGCATGAATAATTAATGGATAAGACTGAGATGGTGCCTGGCATTCTTCTCTATTGATTCTCAATGACCAACACTAAGGAGATTTGTAATTGTGAAAACCTTTGCAAAGCCAAACTCTTTACAATGGGAGTAATCTGGTTCTGAAAAATAGAGTGAACTACGTAACACAATAGTGATTTGTGATGTAGAGAATTATCTGGTACTGTTCTCCCATCCAACACCTTGTTACTAATGTTTCTGGGTAAGAGAAGGTAAGAAAAATGCTGATAGAATTATATAATTGAGTTGCAAGTAATTGTTAACAGAGCTACTTGTGATTGCAAAAACTTAGAAGTCAAATGTGGGGTTGGGTCAGTTTTGCCAAAGTGCTGGGCATAAAACGAGCCTCACTGTTATCCAGGATAAAGTGCCAGGAGTGGACTTCTCAGCCCACAGTGAGTAAGGCTGAGTGTCTTCTGCCAGCAGGCTTGCTTATAAAGAAGGGTGCCTAAAGGCACTTTCTTGGGGCGGACTAGGTGTGTTGACCCATGAACCACAGCACAGCACTTGCAGACTGAGGTTTCTGGCAGGACAGGTTGTTTATTAGGTAACTATTGACAACGCTAAAACAGCTCTGTAACATTGCCTAAACAGGGCAGAGGCCAAGGGACCATGTGACGGAGCAGCCAACAACCAGGCAGAGGCGTGCCTGCAGGTGCAGCTGAGAAAAGGCTGTCCTGCCTGGAAGGACTGTTTCCAGCATTTCGGATTCTAACAGTAACCTGTTAACTTCCCTAATAGACTGCACAATTGTAAGTACAGTCTGTGAGTTCTGTGCGGCTACTGCCATAAAGTACCGTGCCCGGCTGGGACTTAGAGGAATGTGGGAAGGTCAGCTGGTGTCAGATTTGGCAAAGAAGGAAAGAGGGCGGAAGCATGTGGGACCCCTACCTCACCAAAATCAGGAAAGAGCTGAGGGAGCTGGTGATTCTCTCCCTCACTTTCCCTCTCCTGCCCCCACCCCACAGTGACCCAGAGGAGGTCAGTTCCCGTCCCCACACCATTCTTATAGGACCCGATCAGAAAGGTGAGCTAATGATCACAGTGCCCAATATAGAATAACAACATTGACCACAATATCTAAAGTGATTGCCACACAAATCAGAGTTGTGATTTCAAGTTACACTGGAGCTTTCGGAACTGTTTTGTCTGTCTGCCTGGTCTTACTATTATTTGTACACAATGGTCACTATCTTGATACCTTAGACAAGGTGACAATCATAACACCTGAAATGCTGAAGTTGTACGAATAGAAATGATACAATGCTACAGAGAGATATTGGAGTAAAGTGTATACATAAATTTTGAAAGCAGAAATCTGTAAAATACCAGAATTAAATACTTTCCAATTCTGACATAACTGTCATTAAGGTAAGTATTTACTTAACTATCTTATTCTTCTCAGAAACAATAAACCTCTAGTGGAAACACTCCAGTGCTACAAGGAAATGATTTCCATAAAATGATTGGCAAATAATTTACAAAGAAATGAAGCACATAAGAGAATGTACTTATTCATTGAAACGATAAAACCATCAAGTCCCCCCAAAGCGAATTAAATAAAAACCTTTTAACTTACTTCATTTGAGGTGAGTATACGCCAAAACCACTGGGATGATTAGAAATGTGACCATTCATCATGGCTCCTGCAACCGGGTTCTGAAAAAGAAAAGCTCCTAAGTGGAAAGCAATTAAGACTATGACACCTCCGTTTCGAAAAGTTATTCATTCAACAACTATGTCTTACTGCCATCAACTATGACAAGGGTCAGACAGAGACAGAGTTCTCCACCCTCCAAGAGCTCAGGCTCCAGAAGGACAGAGAGCCATCGAAACAAAGATGTCAGGGGCGCTGAACAGTAATATACCAGGACGGTAACCAGGTTTAGGCGAGTGCCAAAACAAAAGCGAAAATATAGTCCTAAATCTTCTAAGTATAAAGGCACAATTTCATATTCTAGTCCCCCCAAAATCAATTTTCAGCTTTAAGAAATTTTTTTCATTCTAAAATAACAGACTTATTAAAAATCAAGAACTATGTAATAGAACAAAAGGAGAAAATATCACCTAGGGCATGTTTAATGTGATTTAAAGACAGGAATTTTTAATGTCATTTGAAGATATGCATTTTTAAAAGTCATCAATTTCCATTTAAGTCAGTATGCAGTTTTCTTTACTTATTTCTTCCTTCTTTCCTTGCATTCTTCAAAGTCTACCTGTCAATATGGGATCCATGTAATCTTAGATACATCTTTTTTCAATAAAGGATTCATTTACTCATTCTTTTTTTACTTTTTACAAGGGACAAAAAATATCCACACATATTTAACTTCTCAAAACATCTTGAACCTATTTCACAAATGTTCTCTTAGCGCAATAAATAGGAATGAGTTGTTATTGTCTGTTAGATCGGCACTGGACCCGTCCCGACTCACGGGAGGCCTAGCAGACAGAGAAGAATGAATGCCCCATCACGCTCCCCGTCAGAGCTGATTGTCTTGTCTTTACTCCCTCGGAGCAGCTGCCATATTTTAAACTGCTGACAAATTCAAGGGCTTTCCTTTTTGTCTTTTCTCAGACAATACTAATTTCTTTCGTTTCCCTCCCCGGGTTCTGTGTCACAAAAGTACATCTTGTTTTATCTTTCTGACTTTTTATCTTTTCACGTATTTCTATTGTCTCTTCACAGTAAGAGATGGGCAGGACCTGTGCTCATAGGACAAGGGGGAAAGAGGCAGGAAAAGCGGTCACTTGGATGTGCCCTGCGTGATGACAGCCCCCGGGACCATGGAAGTGAACAAAACAGTCAGCATCCCCATTACAGGGCTGAGAAGTTGGGGAGAGGAACAGATCCTGCACAAATAAAGAAGGAATTATCATTACAGTAGTACCTATAAAAAGGAAAATCCAGAGTGGGACAGGAGCACGTGTAATAAGCAGGGAAACAATTCAGCATTGTAGGGCAGAGGACACCTACTGCCATCGAGTTAATTCTCACTGAAAGTAACCCAGCACAACCTGGTAGAAGTGCGCCCTGGGGCTTCCAAAGACCATCACCTTTACTGGAGCAAATCATCTTCACCTTTCTCCCTGACGCAGCTGAACTTTCAGTGAGTGGCCCAACACTTAAGCCCCTGCACCACCAGGGTGTCCAGGGCAGGAAGGTTTATAGAAAGACCTGGGAAGTTCAGGTTAAGAGCTCTGGTGGGGAAAGGAAAAAATAATAATAAAAAAGAAATTGGTAGCGGGGGCACAGGGTGCTAACCCACCCAAGGGGAGGGTATACCTTCACAGGAAAGAGGGACCAGACTTCAACCCGGTGCTCCAAGATGTGAATGCAACATTCTGGTGTGGAGAGGTCTGGGGGGCCGGCCCCAATCCCAACTACTACGTGGACGCATGCCCCTCCTCCAGAAAAATTTATTTCAAAGGACGGCATTGAATCTGCAGCTCCAGGAGAGGGACATGTCTGATCGGAGCACATGGGAGCAGATG